ACTTGTATTGGGCTGAAGATTAAAGGTGAAACACTAAACTGTGGGAACACTTAAGAGAGGTGTGACAGGATGATCACTGAGCCTCTGTCTTTGTGCCTCTGGGCAGCGCACATGTGGCTCCTGTTCATGTTAATGACTGTGTTCTTATTTAAACATATACCATTGTTATTACACTGTTTCAATGACTGTGAAGGAGTTTCCCATGTTGGTGAGGAATGTTAAAAGCACAGGATTTCCTCATGATTGTGATCACACCAGACCCATGCCCATCCTCTGCTGCGGCCTCAAAGGGCACATTTCAAACCTCAGGGCGTCTCCATCTCCTGCGTGCTGATTGGCTGAGCACACTGGGCTCTGCTGTAGAATGCAATATGATATATGGACCATCATACTGAGTGACACATGAAAGGCCCAGTGTCCTCTGTGACTAACCCTCCGCTGTTGTCCTGTCTTTCAGTGGAGAGCTGTCCTGGAGACAAGAGCCCACCCGGTTCCGCTGCCTCCAAGCGAGCACGCACCGCCTACACCAGCGCGCAGCTGGTGGAGCTGGAGAAGGAGTTCCACTTCAACCGTTACCTGTGCCGACCACGGCGCGTGGAGATGGCCAACCTGCTGAATCTGACCGAGAGACAGATCAAGATCTGGTTCCAGAACCGCAGGATGAAGTACAAGAAGGACCAGAAGGGCGTGGGCATGATGCCCTCCCCTGGGGGCCAGTCCCCACAGAGCCCTGTGGGGGCCCCTGCTGCAGGAGGATTCCTCAGCTCTATGCATTCTCTGGTGAACAGTGTCCCGTACGAGCCTCACTCCCCCCCAGGCCCCGGCCCCGCCTATAACAAGCCCCCCAGCCAGGGCACCTACATGACATCATACCCACCTGGCCTGAGCACCTGCCCCCCCTCACAGCCCCCAAAGCGCTACACGGGTCCCGACTCCGCCACGCCCGAGTACGATGCTCTGCAGCCCAACGGCACCTACGCCTCACACGCCTCACACGTGCAGGGCAGCCCTGGCTACGGCGGCTACATGGAGTCTATGGGCGGCTCTATGGGGGGCTCTATGGGGGGCTCCATGGGGGGCTCTGGGGGCTCAGTGTTTGGCCTGGGCCACGCGCAGCCGCACATGGACTATAACCAGACTATCATCAGCATGGGCAGCGGTGGGCCTCATGCGGGCTGCGACCCCACGCCCACCTACACGGACCTCACTGCGCACTACTCTCAGGGAAGACTGCAGGAAGCGCCCAAACTCACACATCTGTAGCCAACATGGCAACCTGCTCAGTGCGCCTAAACTCATGCATCTGTAGCCAACATGGCAACCCGCTCACTGCGCTGGCCTGCCTCAGATCACTCCGCCCCATTGTCTGTATGCACCACCTCCAGCTGCATCACGCCTGTCTCATTCCGCGGACCTCCTCTACTCACACCTTTCTTTGTGTTGCCCTGATCTCTGCGCAGTAGTGCTGTGGGGTACACTCACGTAAACGTGTACGTGTACAGGCCATTGTCTCGAGTTCTGCTGTCATGACAATGGAGGGAGGGTTGTAGCTTATAGCTCTATAGTTTAGGCACAGGGAGGGTGGGTTCATATATTTCATCTTTTTATTTCAACAAACAGGGTATTATGAACTTTCATTTTGAATGTGAATATATGTTATTTATCTGCCACTGAAGAATCGTCTTTTGTTGCACTTGAGTTGGTTTTATGAGGGTAAAATGACGCAGACGCGCTCCCATCACACGTGGACTTTTTAACGTTATTATTTATTGTTATTGTTGTTGTTCCTTTAACCTTTTGCATATTCTACAGCCACGTCCGCAGCACTGCGTACCATCTGCGAGGAGGTGTTTTCTTTGTAATGTAATATCAATCAGCCATGTTAAAGAAGGACACACGTATACGCACACATTTAGGAAATTCTGATCAATTTCTCCACTTTATTATGATTATTTTTTCCCCCTGATGTGTTACATTCCATGCTGCTCCAATTTGAAGAAATAAAGTCCACATTTTAAGTATATCAGAGCTGGGCTTTAATTCATTCAACAATAGACTATACATCACATTTCAATGAACTTGCACATATTTCATGAAATAAAAGCGTCCAAAATGTTGAATCAAATCTGTAAAACAAACAAAAAACAGAAAAAGAAAGAATTGCTCGCGTGGGAACAAAAATCCGACAGGGGTGGCCTTCCATTTGTCCCGTGTCGTGTGCGTGGGCTCATGTCAGAGCTATTCTACCAGAGAGCAAAATAACAACGAGGGAAATAACACGTTTAAATGAGAAATCGTTTGAGAAATAATTCACTTCTGATGCATTTACGTCAGTCATAGCGTGTTCAAGTGTATCACGTGTTAAAGGTTAAATGAAAATAAGAATGACGCAAAATGGCCAAAGAAAGGACGCGCGTTAAAACCAGACTGTATTTAATATTAGGTTAAAAGCAGATGGGTATGTGTATGTGTATTTTACGCACAGCTTTTTTCCAAACAAGACCGTGCAATAATCCACGTTTTCGAATTTATGAATATGCAATAGCTGAGTTAAAATGAATTCCAAATATAATCATGTGATTTGCACTGAGAATACTATTCCAAAATGTCGTTGTTGTTGTCAGCTGTGTAGCCCTTTATGATTGATACGCCCGCACTATGGCCTTGACATATGGCTAGCAGGGGAAGCCTCCAACAATTGAACCATGCCTGGAGCGTGTCAGACTGTATCCACCGCAAATAACACGCAGTCTGTCTGATTCGAGCCATAAATACTACTTTTTTTTTTACCCGCACCTATTGAAAATATTGGAACCATGCAGCTCCTCGAATCAAAGCAGCAATCTTGTTTGAAAGCAGCCACACACACACACACACACACACACACACACTCACACAGATACTCACACACACAAGGGAATAAGGGAAGGAAAATAGCCAAAACAACAATAATACTTCCTTTAAAATCTTCAACAAAAAAATACAAAAAAATGAATCACAAAGCCACATCCATACGCTGATAAAGGCCAGGTGAGCATGGCCCGGGCCTCGTCCTTCTCACGCAGCAATATAAGCTTGATTTCATGTTTATCTGCAAAAACAGTCCTTCCAGGCAGTGATAGAGGCACAAAAGTCTCCCAATTTGAGCGTTTCTGGTCGCTTCCTGGCTGCATTTGATCCGGGGGAGAGTTTGAAGCCTTAAATGTGCTGCTTCGAGGGCGCCGAGCTGTCAGACCTTTTGGCGAGTAAGATTGATCGCGCGCAGGCTTCCAGGACTCTTTGTTTGGTATATAAGCAAAAAAAAAAAAAAAGAAAAAAAAAAGGAAGGCAGAGACTGAGGCGTTTTCCTCCTTGTTTTATTCCAGCAGTCACAGATTTCCACTTTCTATTTTTTGTGGGATATGTATCATGCTTGTGTGAGAGTAAACATGACATTGGGAGGCATTGCCAAAATACGACTCATGCTAACACGTAATATGGAGTTCCCTTGTATAAACTAGCACCGGGTAAAATGTAATGCATAATACACGTTTTACTGCAGCTACAGATGTCAACAAAGGTCAATTCAAAATGCAATAGTATTTAAATGGTGTTACAAGATTGTTAACATGCAATTCCAACCTTTATTATGTTGTATGTATGCAGCCAGAGGCGTCCACAAAAGCCACTTCCAAATCTATTCACATGTCTATGCAATTCTATGCTCGAATTATGAATTATATTTTTCTGTATATACGTAATGGCCTATTCTAGTATATACCTTAAAGTACCAAGCTCAAAATGGAGTCCAAAATACTTGCAACATTGAGCTGTTTATTATCTGGCTGGTAAACTGTGCCCTAACATTTGCTATTATCTAAATCATGTTGTAATAATTCCCACTCTGCACATAGATAATGGCGCAATTCAATACACCGTTATTTCATTTTGGGTCGATAATAATTTCACAAGGCCATGTGCAAACATAGCATAATCTGCATGAGCTCATAATTAGTGTGAATGTAATGCGTTTTAAATGGAAGCCGCTGTAACAAAGTCAAACGCCATAAGATCCATATTCTTTGCATTGGCTTCATGCGTGGATATATATATTCACGTGCATCGGCTCGTGGTGCAGTTAAGCCTGACAAATGGCATCATGTAACGACATAAGGCAATGTTTTTATAGGATAACACTATCACTGAGAACGTGAAAAATGCCTTCTGGTTAATGCCAAAGTAAATAGGGCCATCCGCGTGTAATTCCTATCACAAAAAGTCTTTAAATATCAATTTGAGAGCCTCTTTGCTTTTTTATGACAAGTTTATGGCCTTCGAACGCGCCACAGCAGTCAATATATAGTTATGGATGGTCGCTGTTATTGCCAAAGAATATATATATGTCACTATTGCTGCTTTTACAGTCTGACATTTATGGGAGTTTTCACAAGAAGCTGTTCGCAGATCCCCACCGGGTTTTTTCCTTCTCCCTCTTCTTGTGAAGTGCGTGTGCGCGTGTGCGTGTGCGTGGGAGGCGTTCACGACTGCAAACAATACGAGAAAGGAGAGCGAATCCGCGCGCGCAGCCAGCCAGCTAAAGTCCATGTAGCCACTTCCCTTTTTTTTTTTTTTTTTTTTTAAGATTCCACTCAGAGTCATTCTCCTCTCTTTTTTCCCTCCTTTCTCCCCTCCTTAAATATTAGTAACAGGGAGAGGACACGCGTGTAAATAAATGAGAGCACTTTCGATTGCGAGCGCCAGACTTTCCGCGAGAATCAATCAAAGACTAGCTTTTTTGACACAAACCCAAGTTGTCATTGGGTAGAGGCAATCATGTGACAGTTTTAACCACCATGAAGTCAATAGTTGCTCGTTCCCTGCAGTGAAAAAAAGCCTCTGTGTGTCTATGGTACGCATGCATCCCGAGCGCAGGGCTATGTGCGCGCCTGCATGCCTTTCGCGTCGCTTTCGCTTCACTCCAAATCACGCAAACTTCTCCGGGCTCTGAGGCGCGGGCGGAGATGAATTACGGGTTCGGGCGAGAGAGCGGTTTTATCAATAGTCAGCCGTCGCTTGCAGAGTGCCTGACGTCTTTCCCCGCGGTCGCAGACTCGTTCCAAAGCTCATCAATCATCAAGACGCCGCCGCTGCCACTGCCACCGCCGCCACCGCTGCTGCCTCCGCCCTTTGAGCAGACCATCCCCAGCCTGCTGAGCGTCAACCCGGGCAGCCATCCGCGCCACGGCCGCCCCGTCAGGCACAGCAGTCCCGATGGCTGCAGGAGTCCGCTGGCCACCGCGGCGCTGCCCCCGGAGTACCCCTGGATGCGGGAGAAGAAGGCGTCGAAGAGAAGCCAGCAGCAACAGCAGATATGCAGCAGTAACGGTGGTGGTGGTGGGGTAGTGCGATGCTTCTCCCCGAAAGGTCAGTATCCACACACAGGCCTGAGGAGAAGGATAGAAGTTAGTGAGTGTGTGAGAGCTTTGAGGTATAGTTTAAATGCGTCAAAACTATAATATGGACACTTTATACTTTTACATAAGAAAGTAGTATATACTGTTTTGCTGTAGCTAGTTCCATGTGTGTTTTGGTTGTTTAAATACCTGCTTAAAACACATGTGTGAAGCTTGTGCTGGTTTAAACATTCACAAAATACAATATGAACACTTTGTACTTGTGCGTATAGGGTAATTTTATTTACTACTGGGCTATAATTAGTCCCATGTGTGTTTTGACTGTTTAATAACATGCTAAACAAACACATAAGACACATTTGGGATGTTTGTGCTGGTTTAAACATTCACAGAATACAACATGGACACTTAAGACCTGTGCGTAATGGCGCCTCATCCATGCGACTCTCCGTGCCCAGTATAGGCCTATACACGCAAACACAGTGTAAATGAGTTTGCCTCGAATTTCCATATAATTAATGTATATGGATTTTTTTTCTAATAGCAACACACAATTTATTTTTTCTATTTTATCCTCAAGCCAAATATTCAAAGTAAAGCAGTTTATTTTTCCATTTCTTATAGTACAGGAAAAGTCGTAGTATAAGCCCATTCCCACCATCCCACTTCTTCTTTTAGTCAAAACACTCAAACATGTTGCACAATTCGTGTCGATTCAAGTCACACACGTTGTTTTAAGTGCAGGGGAAGTCGTTGGGATGAAAATATATCTCCTCGCCTACCATGAGCATGTAAATACAAAACGCGTGGCTGTTATACGGATATATTGGTGGTGATTTATTCCCCCCAGAGCGCGCCTTGGTGGAGGACTTTTTGATGCATGACAGTAATGAAGACTGATGGTTGCCCAGGAAGCTAGCCCGAGCATTCATCTAGTGTCCCACACACACTATTGCTCCCACTACTGCTACTACTAATACTGCTACTACTGCTACTACTTCTACTTCTCAACCTGAGGATATCTTCCCAACATAGCAATGCCACTATTCCTTAACCACTTCAAACACTTGCTTTCAAACTTGAGCCGTCTTAATTTGTATTGCAGACTAAGACTAAGTTTATATAATTTATTAAAATGTGTGGTTGTCTGTTGATCTTTTCTACATATTTGAATTTGTAATTTTAGGCCAAGCTGCTGTGCGTCACCCTGCAAAAATAGATTACGTAGCTATAGATTTGAGTGTGTTTTAACAATATTTGCTATTTGGAACAAGCTCATAATGTCTAGCTTTGAATATAACAAATGGCGCTTAAAATTTAAGGGGTGAAGTGGCAAAAAATGGTTTAAAGATAATCCACGCTATTTTGAAATTAAGTTGTGATTTTTGCAGTGCACATGCAGCCGCCATTTTGCTCCACGTCTCTCCAAGCCCTACGCGTAATTGTCTATGCATTTTATTATAACCACGTCCTTTCTCGTGTCTCCTTAAAAGGCTCGCCAGAGGGTTTGGAGAGCGGCTTGGGATCTGGAGCGACTATCGGAGGAGGAGCAGGCGGCTGTGGGAACGCCAACTCCGGGGGCTCACGCAGGCTGAGGACGGCGTACACAAACACCCAACTGCTGGAGCTGGAGAAGGAATTCCACTTCAATAAATACTTGTGCAGACCGAGGCGTGTGGAGATCGCCGCTTTGCTGGATCTAACGGAGCGCCAGGTCAAAGTGTGGTTCCAGAACAGGCGGATGAAGCACAAAAGGCAGACCCAAACTAAAGACAGCCACTCGGACAGCGGGAAACGGCAAGCAGGCGAGGACATGAGCGAGGATGAAGAAGATGGATCGCTTTACGAGGCGTTCCAAGCCAATAGCAACGCGCCGCTGAGTAATGACAAACATCTCAAGCATTTCACTGCTTCGGACGCGGCGTGCCTGGCTACAATGGGGCCCGTTTCTGGAGCTGGCCCGGACAATAGCGATTGCAGTCCCCGGGTGGCTTTGGAGGTCTCCATACACGACTTCCAGCCTTTCTCCAGCGCGGATTCCTGCCTGCAGCTGTCCGACGCGGCCTCGCCCAGCCTCTCAGAGTCGCTGGACAGCCCCGGAGAGCTGTCCACGGATACTTTCTACTTTTTCACGGAATCCCTGACCACCATAGACTTGCAGCATCTCAACTACTAACACGCGGACTATGCTTAGTTTTGACTGTAAATTGGGTGCGTTGATATTGTTGATATTTGACAAAAGGTAAGGCTCGGTTTTTATGAATGGATCGATGCTGAGTAGTTGTAATTACCACAACAGGAATGAGCTCTCTCTCTGTGTGTGTGTGTAAGAGAGTGTGAATTTACAATATTATAACGAATGCAAACTCTTTTTTATTTTTGTATAGCTTCTTGAATATTTTTGTTAGAATACAATTAACTTGATACAAACTTTGTCCTTGTCTTTTCTCGAATTAATCTTTTTCATGGGAAATTGAAACACACACGCGCTAAGACACACGTACAGACACAGACACGCACACAAACACACACACACACACACATTGATTTAGGTGAATTATGCAAATTAAAAAACAGGTTGCGTTTAATAAGCTTGAATTGGATTTTACGCACACTGTTTGCATAGATTATTTGTGAACAAAAACACACTATTTTAATATTCTCTTTATTTGTTCCTTCTGGTGAGCTCCTTTTTTAAAGTCATGAAAGTGAAACAAATTGAGTCAACATGTTGAGCTACACTGCAAAACTTCTAGTTTTTTTATGGACTGTCCTAGATTTTCGAGAAAGTTCTTAAATTAAAACATGTATTTATTATTAGGGTTATCTTATGTAATGGTTAGGAAATGTTCTCTAAGTTTTTGTCATTGTGCAAACACACTGACAAGACTATATCACAAACAGCCACAATCTGCACAATTTTAATAACATTTGACAGATCCAACAGTTGTGTCTATAAATTCTATAGATTTTTCACAATAATACTTTTTGATCCCTATAGCTGAACTACACACAGGTTTTGCACAATGTGTGGGCTACTTCTTTTTTCTTTTTTCTGCCTTCGGGAGCCCATAAATCACTGCGCGGCGTGAAAGCACTGGACATTAAGGAGAGCAATTGTGTCGTTATAAATAATGCGCGCAAATAAAAAGCGCGCTTACATTTTCATACGGGACTGCCCCCTGATTTTCGTATAGCCCCTTTAAAAACACACACACGCTCTCTCTCTCTCTCTCTCTCTCTCTCTCTCTCTCTCACACACACACACACGCATACACATAAGTGACGCTTGCATTTGGCCATAAGTCATTTTTATTGCCTGTTTAAACACGGCCCTCTGTGAAGCTGTCCCACTACTCTATTAACCCTATTGACAAAGCACTCATAGTTTCTCTGGTTATAATTCACTTTGCACTGAAGTTAGTTAGACATTTGGGAAAGATTTTTTTTTTCTTCAATATACGCTAAGCTGTTTATTAGGACTACACTTGTTGAGTTCACTTGTGGGACTCCGTATATAGGCAGGGAGTTAGCGCGCGTAAACCAGGCACTGTTTTTTGGCATAATCGATCGCGAAAGCCTTGTGTTCCAATTCGGATAAAGCTGCCATGAGAGCTGCGTTGATATCGAATCATCTCCGAAGCATAAGTGGAGCATTGATTGGGTGTGAGTGGGTGAAAGAGGGGGGTGGGCGGTACGGGTGAGGCAGATGGAGAAGGGAAGGGGGACTCCATATACGCACTCCTACGCGCACTTAAGGAATAGGGGCGAAAGGGGACCATAGTACAATTGGTCCAAATACGCCTTTACGCGCAGGTCAAGCGGGGAAAAGTATAAGAGACCAAAGACAAGGGGGAAGAAAAACATACAATAAATATGTACACCATTTAAAACGCGGGTATGTAACAATCAAGCCACAGCATGTATGTAAAGTCCATGCAACTATATTTATTCCCTTTCAAAATAGTTGCTTCTATCACTATGCGCTTCTGTAACATCAGCTTTTTCAGACAGAAAAGCGTAAATGAAAGGAACGCCCTCATCAGTTCTCAACCCAAAAAGTCAAATACTAGAATGCTAATAAGACAAAGACAAAATGTTGCGGTCTTCTTCTATACATGTATATATTATCACTTTCTATTGAGACAAACAAAGTTCAAAGTTAGGTATCCTGGCTTTATGTTGGGTTCTCTTCAATACTGATGATGGGTTACTATACGGCAAACTAAATACCCTATAAAGTATGTTTTTTTGTATTGGAGTTTGATTTGATTCAGACTCAGTTTATTTGCCATTTGCAGTAAAACCACACTGGAGTAGACGTGCAAAAGTCCCCAGTGTGCACCAGATAAATGTTGAAATCCGATACTTTGTTCTTTCTTCACGTCCACTGCATGAATGTTTGTCCATAGCAAAACTTTCACACTGAATCAGCTTTCAGTCAAATGAGGTGCGATATTGGATCAATCAGCTATAACATCTCATTCCAAGGGAGACATTTTGTACGTTAAGTATCTTTTCTTTTCATCACTTTTTGCAGTGAGCCGCATGGATCTTCTGCACATTTTGCATTAGTTCAAAAGTGAAATATGACGGGTTTAGTTCTTTTACGTTTACAACAAACTTTCAAGCAGGAAATGCAAACTTGTGCGACTTCATACTTTGTTAACTATTGTTTAAAACTTTTAACTATTTCACACATGCGAGATCTGAGCCTTGGGAGTCCCTATTTGACGCTTTGGGCTGAGGGCTATATAGTTGAAAAATTTTCTGTCTGAAAATGATCTAAAGCTGTCAATGCTCAAAGGAGACAGTGATGACGGTTTAATATTGTTTCTTAATTTGGAGTTTGAGAATCAGATACTTCAAACAACAAACATTTGCCAATATTTCTGTCCATTAAATCTGTATATACTGTAGGACACATGCCGAAACCTCTTACAAATAGAATTATCTAATGGTAGAAATAAAGCAATATTGTTGTTTTAAAAAGACAAAAACAAGTTCTGTCCATGATGCCATATATGCAGTCTGAGGATGCTTCAGACCATAACGAGTTTGCAAAAAAATCAGTATTTAGACAGAAGAGGGTACAGCCAAAGACAAACAATCAATATAGCACTACATTGGCAAGATGTGTCTCTATACGCCACCAGAATGCCCATATACTGTATATCCACTTTTCTTTCTCTGTAAAAATGAGTCAAAATCTCACATTCATAAATATGAGAGATTTTTATTATGCTAAAGTTAAGACTTTTTATTTTATTTTAGTATAGGGTTATTGTTCATTTATCTTGTGGTGTGTGTTCCTCATTCCTACTGTCCTGTAACTGGTGATGCAACACTGACATTTCCCCACTGTGGGACGAATACAGAATCTCGTATTCTGAAATCAAAAGAACAATGTTAAAGCTAAAGCTAATAGCAACAGTATAACTGTAGCTATACAAAAAAAAACAAAAGTACTTTTATACTTTCAACAAACCAGTAAACACCAGTAGAAATAAACCACCTTTATCAAATACTGGGATTGCATCTTCTGCAAACGTGATCTTTTGTTTGAAGTGTGTGTGTTTCTGTGTGTGTGTCTTGTGGGAGTGTAGTGTGTTGCTTCTCCCCACATGTTTGTGGTGCTTGTTATTCCAGGTATTCAAAGCGGCCTGGGAAAAGAAAGACTCACAAAGATTTCTATAGCGGATTCCTCTCATAGCCAGGATCACTGCTGCTGTGTCTGCAAGCAGCTGGAGAGAGAGGGGAGGGGAGAGAGGGGGGAGAGGGGAGAGAGAGAGAGGGGAGAGAGGAGAGGAGAGAGGGGGGAGAGAGGAGAGAGAGGGGAGGGGGGAGAGAGGGGGGAGAGGGGGGAGAGAGGGGGGTATCTCACACATACACAAACACACACACTCACAGTTTGCTTCCCCCTGGATTGTAAAATGCATAGAAAATGATTGCATTAATCCATAAAACTAACAGCACAAACACAACACAATGTATTTGGATCCACACTCAAACCGTGAGGCATTTTTATTTATATAGCACTTTTCCCAGACAGACTCACAAAGAGTTTCTCACTCCACAGAGATGGGAGCGAGGTCGCCTACAGGAGGCACATGGCTGTACACAATTTAGGGGCAGATCAAACAATAGCACCCAGAGGAAACCTATGCATACACAGGGAGAACATGCAAACTCCCAACAGAACGGCAGTGTCCGGAGGTGGAATCGAAGCAATGCAGGACCAGAAGCACGAGCGCTAACCCAAAAGTAACCAATCAAACCACAACAATGGAACTACGTGATACATAGAAACTCTGTAACTTTGAGTATATTTTTATTTTTACTCTACACTGCCTCATTATATTTGGAACTCTGTGGTAAATGAGCAGAGATTTTACAGTTTTTCTCTATTGCTTAAACACATTTCACGATACTGCCCTCCCTTTTCTCAAAACTCTAAACACAAACCTCTTTTCTAAAGCTACGCATACACAACAACACAATCTCTTTTCAAAACCAACCCATCACACCAAAATACCTCTCATGGTCTGCAAACATGTGAACACTATGAGCATCATTAACCACTTCACCAAAACAATTGAAAACACAATTTTCAGAATGTGAGACTGTTCTTTTTACAGTTTCACAACTGCCAGGATGCATTTGATGCAATTTTAATTCTCAATTGTTTTGGGCATTTTCTATAGATTTGTGCGTTTCATGAGAATAGTTACAGTACATAAAGTAGAAAATGCAGTTATATCAAAACTCAATGCAAACATGAGTAACTCCATGGAGGATCCATGACACACAATAGATACTACAGTACAGTAACAATTGAAAACACAATGTTTAGGGCAGTGCTTCTCAAATAGTGCGGGGTGGGGGTGCAATGACAGGGGGCCAAATAGTGGGGGCGCCCCCCCTCCACATGCTCTGGTGCAACAGCGGACTCATTCCCATGTGACCGGCGCTGACAGGACAAGTGCGGATCTTTGGACAACCTGTGGACGCGATAAATACAGCGCTGTGAGAAATGCAGCTGAACTATGTGAGCCTCTGGAAGTGTCCCCGTGTCTCCTGTAGCCCTGAAACTACAACTGACTAAATTAAAGCTGGGGTACCTAAATTTCCCTTGCATTCATAATACATGTTGTTCCTCTCCCTCTTTGACCTGCTCCTCTCCCTCCTTGACCTGCTCCTCTCCCCCCTTGGCCTGCTCCTCTCCCCCCTTGACCTGCCTCCTCTCCCTCCTCGGCCTGCTCCTCTCCCTCCTCGGCCTGCTCCTCTCCCTCCTTGACCTGCTCCTCTCCCCCCTTGGCCTGCTCCTCTCCCTCCTTGACCTGCTCCTCTCCCTCCTTGACCTGCTCCTCTCCCTCCTTGGCCTGCTCCTCACCCTCTTTGGCCTGCTCCTCTCCCTCCTTGGCCTGCTCCTCACCCTCTTTGGCCTGCTCCTCACCCTCTTTGGCCTGCTCCTCTCCCTCTTTGGCCTGCTCCTCTCCCTCCTTGGCCTGCTCCTCTCCCTCCTTGGCCTGCTCCTCACCCTCTTTGGCCTGCTCCTCTCCCTCCTTGGCCTGCTCCTCACCCTCTTTGGCCTGCTCCTCTCCCTCCTTGGCCTGCTCCTCTCCTTTCTTGACCTGCTCCTCTCCCTCCACTGACACAAACTCCTCTTCTTGTGCCTTGATTATCCATTTTTGTTTTGAACCTTCATCAAACTGTACTGACTTATAAAGTTGTGGTCACATCATTTGCAACAGGAGTTTTCAGTTCTGAGTGGTTGTGTTTTCTGAATGACACCAGGTCTGTTCCTTGTGTTCAGGTTTTGCTGACTGTGGGAGACATTTTTCATCACATGAGCCTCACAATGATTATAGGAGCAGAGATACATGCAAAAAGTGTTTTAGCAAAGGAAAAATGTGTTTTAGCAAAGGAAAAATGTGTTTTAGCAAAAGAAAAATGTGTTTAGAGTTTTGAGAAAAAGGGCATGTGTTTTGTGAACAGTGTCTACAGGAGAATTGTGTTTATGGTTGTGAGAAGTGGGGGAAATAAATGTGTTTAGGCAATTGGTCATTTGGTTTAGAGTACTGGGTTTTGTGTTGTAGCAATAGAGAAAAACTGTACTTCCGGAACCAGAGGAGACTGTTAAGTAGCCACCTCTATTGGCCTCAGAAGTGTGAGAGTGAGTGTTTGGTGTGCGGTTGTGTGTGTGTTTGGTCTGTGGTGTATATTTGGTGTGTGTTCGGTGAGTGTTGTGTGTATCTGGCATTGAAGCAGTGACTCTTTGGAGACTCCTGTGTGTTAACAATGGAGACCGGGACGAGTGGATGTGGTGTGTGTGTTTGGTGTGTCTGATGTGTGAGTGTATGTGTGTGTGTGTGTGTGTGTGTGTGTGTATTGGAAGCAGAGACAGTGTGGAGACTCCTGCCTGCCTACCGCTTTGTGTGTAAACAGAGACGTCCGGGACGTGACCCCAGAAAGCCGCAGGTTCTCTTCTCACTCGCTCTGGAGTGTGTGTTTAAACTCACAACACAACACTTGTATTGTAGCAAACAAGAAGTGTGTAGCTATTAATGACACACGATTCAAGGACAAACTGGTGAAAGACAGACCACTGCATTTAAGAAAAACTTCCGATCATGTTATAAGGAACAAAGGGAAATAGGTAATTATACCAGAAGTATCAGATTTCCGTCCGTTATTTCTTCAAAAGTTACTAAAAAAGTGCAGAGACTCTTCACACACCTTGCATGAGTCTGTTGCGCATGTGAAAGCTTCAGCAGTCGTTCACCACCAGTGTTGAAATTAAAGAGCGTTTTGTCTTTATACTCTGCAACTGTGAGATCAGCAGATGAGAAGCAATCTGTTTCAATAGTATTTGCCTAGAAGTGATTTTTGTTTCTGGTAGAGGACGGCTGGGGCTGAAGCAGAAGCAGGCACTATGTCGACAATAGTACATATTACAGATGGACAGATTCCCATTATTTAGAGCTTGTTGGAATGTGGAACATAACAGTTAAGTGACTTTGTGCCAAACTAAAATCAACCTCACGCAATAGCATCATAAGCTACATTTAGAGTGTGTATACATATATATATATATATATTAACATTAATGATTAACATTAACATCAGTTGATTAATCGCATAGTATTGGTGAGTTAACGCGCGATTGATCGCATTTTTAACATTCTATTTCAATTCCACTCCAATTGAAGTTAAACGAGATTATCAAATGCAATCTGTTAGATTTGCTCACAATCAGGGCTGGACTGGCCATCGGGCGTACCGGGCAATGCCTGAAGGGCCGTTGCCCATATTTGGGCCGTTCTGCCTGCCTCATGCAAAATATGAAAATGTAATTTTTGTGAAATGTGTAAATCTGTAAATAAATATTCGAGGCTGGCGCACATGAGTGCAGTGCACATGCTGTTTGCTGTATGTACTCAAACGGAATTCCGCATCTTCCTCGGCCGCAGCGTTCTTCTGACTAGGGGCAGCTGCGGCCGCTTTGTAATGACAGCGGTTCCCACCTCCAGCGGCTGTGAACGGCTTTGACAACAACATGGCGAACGCGCAGACGCAACATGGTCATAATTTTCCCAGGAGCTTGGATGTGCACAGGACCATTCTCATGCTTGTGCATGCTATAAATACACCGCTGCAAGAAACAGAGCTGTATTATAAAGCCTCGGGAAGTGCCCGTGTCTCCCCTGAAGTTCAACTAAACTCGCTAAATTAAAGCTGGGGTATCTACATTTTCCATTGCATTAACAGCCCATGTTGGTTGTGCCCAAAAGTAAAAGGCTGTGAACAAAAAAAACAGATTTAATGACAGCCATTAGCTGACATTATTTCAGACTTATTTGAAATGTCCCCTTCTCATCCCTGTAACAAACAACAATAGTGTTGGTCTGTGGCCATCTCCCTCACTGTGTAGTGACATGTTTATTACTCTCTTATAATGATAATATAATAATGTGGACTATTACTTTATTTTAATTGTTGAAACTGCATACATCCTCTACAGTATGTGCTTTCACATACCGTATAAATAATCATATATATATATATATATATATATATATTTTTTTTTTATGTAAAAACCCGGCCGGGCCATCAAGGAGGCAAAAATGCCTGGGGCGTTTTTTGGTCCCAGTTCAGCCCTGCTCACAACTTTTTACTTTGGACACAACCAAAATGAGCTGTTAATGAAAGGGGAAAATGTTCGTACCCCAGATTTAATTCAGCGAGTAAAGTTTAGTTTAGTTTCAGGAGGAGACACGGCCACTTCCGCTGTATATTTGCGCGCACAGGTTACGCACAGGTTACGCAGGTTTTGAAGACAAGCACACAACATTCAGTAGTTCTGTGCATGTATGGTCTAACCGCAGCGCCATTCGCTCTGGTTCACTAACAACAACCAGAGCGGCCGCAGCTGACCCCGGTGTGTGCCCTGCGAGGCGGACTTCAGTTCACAACAAACAACAGCCCTGCAGTCACGCGTGTATTCTTTTAAAACTTGAATTCCCAGAGGGCCTACCTGCTCTGATGCCATCTCACAAACGCATGAGTCCGCTGCATTCTGAGTGATACAGTATTATGGATAAATGGGCGGGTCATTCGGACATGCGTTAAATTTTTTTTATGAGTTAATGAAAAATGTAATTAACGTGAGTTAACCCAATCATTTTGACAGCCCTAATATATATACATATATATATAAAACTGTGAAAGTAACTTCAAAGTAATGCAGTAGTAGTGTAATGCTTTACAATTCAGAGACAGTAATATTGTAGTGTAATACATTATTTTGAAATAACAGTAACGAGAAACATATAGCGTCTAATGTTTTTGAAGTAACTCGCCCAACACTGTTCACCACCATCGAGTTTGAGTGAATGAATGATTCGATGCAGAGTCAGAAAAGCAATTTTAAAATTCCCCCGTTCGGGGCTCGGGCCTAAAAACTGACTTACAACAGCTTTTAACCATGTTATAGTATTATTTTACCTTGTCCTTCAGACTTACGCTTGTGTCTAGGATGATTCCTACATGTTTATTCTCATTCATAGTCATTTATATTCTCCTACACCTGAGTCATCATTGCCCCCTCCCTGGCTCCTCTGACCCCCACCCCGCTGCCACTGTCCTTCTTAGGCTTTCACACATTTTCTCTTCTGAAATCGTAAAATGCAGATTTTTTGGCAGTTTATTTGCTGAAAAGACAAATAAACCTTCAGATTCATCCTGGTCATAAATATTGTTAAATGGTGTGGTTCTAGTCGGCCACATTCAACATTCACTGTGGAATCATCCTCAATCAATACATCCACACGGCCAGCTCCCATAGGTGGCGCTGTTCCCTCACAGCCTCTCTGCTTTCTGCCAGGGGTGGTGCAACATTCTCCAGGGACCGGGGGATAAAGGGCCCTCCAGGATAAATTAGAGTCAGTAATCAATAAATAACAAAAAATCAATATAACAAAATGAAGCAACAAAATCAATGTTCTAAAATCACACTTACATGGGATGAGACTGAACTACGACTATGAAAGCAACAATATTTAACATTTGAACTAGTACGGATGAGCATGTCCTCCGACTCTCCCACATCTGCAAGGTTTGAGCACTTATATGTGTCAGAACATAGACTCTTACAAACCTTTTGCATCTACCTCATTGACAAATAGGGCTGCCATGACTTCAAATTTTTTAATCACGATTATTGTGAGAGATAATATTGGGATTTTTACTGTTATTCGGGATTATCGTCATTATGAAAGAAAGAAAAGAAAATATTTTATTTTATATTTTATTGTATGTGGTCATCATAATAGTCTAAGTGTCATGTCTGCATTTGTTTTGTTGACTAAGGTTACGTGCTACTGTCCCTTTAAGAGCGGCTCCCGGCACATGTGTTTGTGGCCGACACTAGTACTTTCACTTTTGATATGCAGAATCCTTTGCATTAATGTGTGCCAAGAGACAGTTTTGGAGTTTATTTCTAAACATTTGGACAACTTTATTGACAAAGATGCAGTTTTATACCTTGACTTGGAGCTACACTAAAGGATGATTATCTGAAAGATGTTGTGTTTATTTATTTGAAATTAGGACAGTACATATTCATCAATGTGCCTGCAAACAGCGTCAACATAAATATGCTGAAATTAGCACAATATCTAAATTGTATCCATTGTCCTAAGGCAGGTAAGAAATTCACAAACTCACAGTTAGGTCAAAGTGTAAACAATAAGTGAACAAGCACAACATAAATAATTTAAAAGAGAAAGCCCAAGGAAGAGCAGATTATCTATGGGAGCATGACTGGTTTGATTTCAACCAATGTTTGAGGACTCCTTCAAATGTTTGGTAGGTCCCACAGTTTAGAATGTGTTCCGGCAGAGTGTTCCATAACGTTGTGCCTCAGATGGACGCCACCATTTGGCTGAATCTAGTCCTGCGCCTTTGTATATTACAGTCTCCTCTGGTTAGTGCTCTGGTTCTAACTCCACGGTCGTGGTTTTTTTTTTTTTTTTTACATATAAAATCCATTAAGGGAGGAGGAGCAAGTCCATCTAATACTTTAAAAATAAGGCAAGTGTCCAAAAACTTCTGATAACTCTCAAAATCTAAAATGTTATACTTACTTACAATGTTACAATAATGATAAAGCAATGGCTTGTAAATTTCTCCTTTATTTGTGAAATAAAGCACATCTTATCTTATGGCTTCCTATCTAATGTTTTAAGTGTTTTCTTAAACAGAGACTTGAGTGGCTTCAAAGTGATCTCGGACGTGTGGGACCAAGTTGTGTGGCAATAGTTAATGTGACTAAATATCATAGAGTGCATATAAGCCTTTGCTGACTCTACAGTCAAGTAAGGCCTTATATGTTTGAAGTTTGCCAGGTTGAATTTAACAACATCCCATATTTTCTTGACATAGTCTTTGAAAGTTAAGTTTGAATCAAAGATTACTCCCAGATATTTAAATTGTTGGACCACCTCTAATTGCTCTCCATTGATCAGAACAGATGGCTGTTCACTCCCTCCTCGCTGACGGGAGAAGAAAATGCATACAGTTTTTTTTGTATTTAAGTGTAGGCAGGAGTTTTGGAGCCATCGTGTTTCTGGAACCATGGCCCCAGAGAGGACGGCAGCTGCTTCTGCTTTTAGTGTTGGCCCTTTTCGCTGCAACTTTCCAACTTTGCACTTTGGAATTCCATCGATGACAACAACACCTTGCTCATCTCTGGGATACACAAAGGGATCCCACACTAATTACTTAAGTCGTTATTTTGGTAGATACAACTCTGGGGGAGCTTGTCCTGCCGTCTTCATTTTAGCGGTGAATCTGCTCCGTGTGTGCAGCGGCTCGCACTGCACCTCGCGCGAGAGTTTCCCGTACCAGTAGTAAACCGGGCCATCTAAAATCCTTACGGTTAACCTACCGCTGGCTTTTATAATCGCAATTTTCGTAAAGCCGGTTAATCTCGCCAACCCTATTGACAAATAATGTTGCCGTTCAATTATTGTAATTAGAGCTAACATTTCAACTCATCTTCATCTTCAAACAAAAACCCAGTCTTTTTATTCCTGTATTTTCTTCTTCCCACACTCTCCCCGCGGCCTCTCGTCTTTCGAACACTTTTATTTGATGAAGTTAGCGTGTGGCGGTGAGTCTCCCTCCGCGGGCTTCTCCACTCTGCTCTGAGCTTCCATGCCTCCGTAATGAACACGCGTGTGGAGAGATGGAGCATTA